TAATTTGCTTATAACTTCTAAAATACAAGCCGTATTTGTATGTAATTTGCAGCATTAGAGAGAATGGAATACTAGCTACCTCATAGATGTATTAATTTTCTTAAAAACTTTAAAATCTTTCCAAATTTTAAAAGATTTAATATACAAAACGCTTATATGAAAAACTCTGAACGCTGACAAAATTATGAATTTATTTTTATAGTGAAGTAAAGGCCATTTAATTTTCTATCAGGGTGAGAAATTTCAAGTTGATACTCTGACTAATATAGAAGTTATTACAGTTCAATTGAAACAGTCGCGAGCGTTCTTTGCTACTATTAAGGGCAATTTTATATTTCACTAATTTGCTTATAACTTTGAAAGTACAGTTTGTACTTTATGAAATTTTCACTAGAGGATAGAATGGAATATGTACTTGTTCATGCATGTAACTTTTGTCACCCTAATTAAAAATTAGTGACGTAATTTTAAAAGTTTTAAATTAAAACGCTTATAATACAAGCGTTAAAACGCCAACTGAGTTCAAATTAGAACTAATTTAAAGACAATTTTCCGCTCTATATTGTTGTTAAATTTCATAAGATTATAATAAAAAATGCCTTGTTATAGACAAAAATCTAAAATTCCTAAAAATTACAAAAATTGCCAAAAATGCAATTTTAAAACTTTCATGAACTAATAGGTGAACAGAATCAGCAGGAGGTAAATTTTCCTAATGAGTATTTTACAATTTTGTTTATAACTTCTCAAGTTTTGAGAGTATGAAAAAGAAATTGGGCTCATATAAAAGCTGGAGATTTGGCCCTTCTCGCTGGATGCAAATTTCCCGCCCACTGCCACGCCTAACTTACCAAATTTAAGCTTTAAATATAAAAACGCTTATAGTAATAACACCAAACATTTTTCCAACTTTCTTTGTTTACTATCTTAAAGCTTATTTTATATTTTATCCATTTGTGACATTTCAAGTTGATAGCTGCATTGGTATAAAAGTTATCATGATTTAGTTGAAACAGTGAAGAGCGCTCTATGTCTGTGTTTATGGGCAATTGAATGTTTTACTAATTTGGTTATAACTTCTAAAATACTAGCCGTATTTGTATGAAATCTGCAGCATTAGAAAGAATGGAATATTAGCTATCTCGTAGATGAATTAATTTTCTTAAAAAGTAGAAAATCTTTCCAAATTTTAAAGGATTTTATATACATAACGCTTACATGAAAAACTCTGAACGCTGACAAAATTATGAATTTATTTTTGTAGTAGAGTAAAGGCCATTTAATTTTCTATCAGCATGAGACTAATACAGAAGTTATTACAGTTCAATTGAAACAGTCGCGAGCGTTCTTTGCTGCTATATAAATATGCCTTAGTTATAGACAAAAATCTAAAATTCCTAAAAATTCCAAAAATTGCCAAAAATGCAATTTTAAAATTTTCATGAACTAATAGGTGAACAGAATCAGAAGGAGGTAAATTTTCCTAATGAGTATTTTACTATTTTGTTTATAACTTCTCAAGTTTTGGGAGTATGAGAAAGAAATTGGGCTCATATAAAAGCTTAAGATATGGCCCTTCTCTCTGAATTCAAATTTCGCGCCCACTGCCACGCCTACCTTACGAAATTCAAGCTTGAAATATAAAAATGCTTATAGCAATAACACTAAACATTTTTCCAACTTTCTTTGTTTACCATCTTAAAGCTTATTTCATATTCTATCGAATTGTGAAATTTCAAGTTGATAGCTCCATTGGTATAAAAGTTATCGTGATTTAGTTGAAAGAGTCAAGAGTGCTTTATATATGTGTTTATGTGCAATTGTCTGTTTTACTAATTTGTTTATAACTTCTAAAATACTAGTGATATTTGTATGAAATTTGCAGCATTAGAAAGAGTGGAATGTAAGCTATCTCATAGATGTAATAATTTTCTTAAAAAGTTGAAAATCTTCTCAAATTTTAAGGGATTTAATATACAAAACGCTTATAAGAAAACCTCAAAACGCTAACGAAATTATAAGTTTATTTTTATGGTAGAGTAAAGTCCATTCAATTTTCTATCAGCATGACAAATTTCAAATTAAAAATCTGAGCGGTATAGAAGTTATTAGAGTTTAATTGAAACAGTCGGGAGCGTTCTATGTCAACATTATGGACAATTGTATATTTGACTAATTTGCTTATAACTTCTAAAATACAAGCGGTATTTGTATGTAATTTGCAGCATTAGTAAGAATGGAATATTAGCTATCTCATAGATGTAATAAATTTCTTAAAAAGTTAAAAATCTTTCCAAATTTTAAAGGATTTAATATACAAAACGCTAATAAGAAAAACTCACAACGCTGACGAAATTATAAGTTTATTTTTGTAGTGAAGTAAAGGCCAGTTAATTTTCTATCAGCATGAGAAATTTCAAGTTGATACTCTGACTAATATAGAAGTTATTACAGTTCAATTGAAACAGTCACGAGCGTTCTTTGCTACTATTAAGGGCAATTGTATATTTCACTAATTTGCTTATAACTTTGAAAGTACAAACTATATCTTTATGAAATTTTCGCTAGAGGATAGAATGGAATATGTACTTGTTCATGCATATAACTTTTGTCACCCCGATTAAAAATTAGCGACGTAATTTTAAAAGTTTTAAATTAAAACGCTTATAATACAAGCGTTAAAACGCCAACCGAGTTCAAATTAAAACTAATTTAAAGACAATTTTCCGCTCTATATTGTTGTTAAATTTCATAAGATTATAATAAAAAATGCCTTAGTTATAGACAAAAATCTAAAATTCCTAAAAATTCCAAAAATTGCCTAAAATGCAATTTTAAAATTTTCATGAACTAATAGGTGAACAGAATCAGCAGGAGGTAAATTTTCCTAATGAGTATTTTACAATTTTGTTTATAACTTCTCAAGTTTTGGGAGTATGAGAAAGAAATTGGGCTCATATAAAAGCTTGAGATATGGCCCTTCTCTCTGGATGCAAATTTCCCGCCCACTGCCACGCCTTTCTTACGAAATTCAAGCTTAAAATATAAAAACGCTTATAGTAATATCACTAAACTTTTTTCCAACTTTCTTTGTTTACCATCTTAAAGCTTATTTTATGTTCTATCCATTTGTTAAATTTCAAGTTGATAGTTGCATTGGTATGAAAGTTATCATGATTTAGCTGAAACAGTGAAGAGCGCTCTATGATTGTGTTTATGGGCAATTGACTGTTTTACTAATTTCTTTATAACTTCTAAAATACTAGCCGTATTTGTATGAAATTTGCAGCATTAGAAAGAATGGAATATTAGTTATCTCATAGATGTAATAATATTCTTAAAAAGTTGAAAATCTTCCCAAATTTTAAAACATTTAATATTCAAAACGCTTATAAGAAAAACTCAAAACGCTAAGGAAATTATAAGCTTATTTTTATGGTAAAGTAAAGTCCATTCAATTTTCTATCAACATGACAAATTTCAAATTAAAAATCTGAGCGGTATAGAAGTTATTAGAGTTTAATTGAAACAGTCGGGAGCGTTCTATGTCAACATTGTGGACAATTGTATATTTGACTAATTTGCTTATAACATCTAAAATACAAGCGGTATTTGTATGTAATTTGCAGCATTAGTAAGAATGGAATATTAGCTATCTCATAGATGTAATAAATTTCTTAAAAAGTTAAAAATCTTTCCAAATTTTAAAGGATTTAATATACAAAACGCTAATAAGAAAAACTCACAACCCTGACGAAATTATAAGTTTATTTTTGTGGCAAGATAAAGGCTATTTAATTTTCTATCAGCATGAGAAATTTCAAGTTGATACTCTGACTAATATAGAAGTTATTACAGTTCAATTGAAACAGTCGCGAGCGTTCTTTGCTACTATTAAGGGCAATTGTATATTTCACTAATTTGCTTATAACTTTGAAAGTACAAACTATATCTTTATGAAATTTTCACTAGAGGATAGAATGGAATATGCACTTGTTCATGCATAAAACTTTTGCAACATTAATTGAGAATAACATGTATAATTTTCAAAGTTTTAAATTAAAACGCTTATAATAAAAGCGTTAAATCGCCAACCGAGTTCTAATTAAAACTAATTTAAAGGCAATTTTCCGCTTTATATTGCTGACAAATTTCATAAGGTTATAATAAAAAATCCCTTAGTTATAGACAGAAATCTAAAATTTCTAAAAGTTACAAAAATTGCTAAAAATGCAATTTTAAAATTTTCATGAACTAATAGGTGAACAGAATCAGCAGGAGGTAAATTTTCCTAATGAGTATTTTACAATTTTGTTTATAACTTCTCAAGTTTTGAGAGTATGAAAAAGAAATTGGGCTCATATAAAAGCTGGAGATATGGCCCTTCTCTCTGAATGCAAATTTCCCGCCCACTGCCACGCCTACCTTACAAAATTTAAGCTTTAAATATAAAAACGCTTATAGTAATAACACCAAACATTTTTTCAACTTTCTTTGTTTACTATCTTAAAGCTTATTTTATATTCTATCCATTTGTGAAATTGCAAGTTGATAGCTGCATTGGTATGAAAGTTATCATGATTTAGTTGAAACAGTGAAGAGCGCTGTATGATTGTGTTTTTGGGCAATTGACAGTTTTACTTATTTCTTTATAACTTCTAAAATACTAGCCGTATTTGTATGAAATTTGCAGCATTAGAAAGAATGGAATAGTAGCCATCTCATAGATGTAATAATTTTCTTAAAAAATTTAAAAGCTTTCCTAATTTTTAAGAATTTCTTTTACAAAACGCTTATGTGATGAATTCACAATGTTAACGCAATTTTTGAGTGTTTATAATCATAATAGTAAGCAGTTTTTCAACTTTCCTTTTCCATCATCTTAAATGTTATGTTACTGTCTATACTTCATCCTATTAAAGCTTCACTTTAGAATGGTTGTATTTGTGTTCCTTAAGAAAATAAGAACAAATATTTTTTATTTTTTTTTTTAACTGTAAAAAGAATATTTTATTAAAAAATATATATATGTTATATATATTTACTTATTTCTTTTTTTTCTTACTGTGTGGATGCTTCAGACATCTCTTTTTTATACTTTTTTCGGGCTGTTGTTTTTTTTGCTGTTTAAATGGAGAAAAAACGTTATAAAATGTATAAAAATTGGTAAATTATAATAATCATAAAATAATAATAATAATAAAAAACTTAAAATATATATTAAAAATTAATTTAAATCTATATAAATTTTAAAAACTAATAAACTATAAATAGGTTTAAAAAAAATACGAATTAAAAAAAAAAATACTGTTGCACAGTAATCTTTTTTAAAATAATATTTTAAAAACAAATTTTGTTTTCTTAAAAAAAATTTTGAAAAACAGGAAGCTCTTCTAAAGTGTAAAGAAAAATATTAGTAAATAGATTAAAGCTTAATAAAAGCATTAGGAAAGCATGCATAGCAGGCTTGCAAATGATATATAGCGAATACTACTTAATAGTATATGTATATTTAAATTAATTACCTTTCCTGGAGAAAGTAAGACCTTTATACGATTTTTTAACAACAAAAAAAATATCACATGGGAGATTTTTTTTCAAAATTGAAATACTTACCTTTACATATGTACAGTATGGGGGGACGCTTTATATATATTTACATATGTATGTATGTTTTTAGTTTTAGCGAAAAAGTTTCGTTGATACTAGCTTCATATGAGATTCTTTTTTATAAAAATTAGTTAATTTTAAATCTAAAGAATTGTAAAACTTAAATTTAGTAAAGGTCTTCTTATCTTCTATTATTTAACATTTTCAAATAGTATTCGCAATTGGTGCAATATTGTTGGGGAGCTATGACATGCCGCTTCCGACAAAGATTACATTCAGCTGCTTTAGCGGAGGCCTTGACAATGGCATTGTTGTAGACTCGGGTGGGTATGGCAGTGACATTGACGGTATTAGTATCATTGCAGGTTAGGTTAGTAGGCGGTAGACCATGTTGCTGTAATTGCTGCTGCTGTTGTTGTTGTTGTTGTAACATGGAGGGCTTGGGTGGTAGTCCATTAATGTTGTTGATGGATTCCATGGATTCACCTTTAGTGCCAGGTTCGAAACTTACTTTTTTAGTTTTGGTGGGTTGATTCTGTAAATGAGTGGCGGGATTGGCTTGTGGCAGTGTTAGATAGGGATTATTGGGTTGTTGATTTAAATGTTGGGGAGCTCTCTGATAAGGTTCATTAGTGGGATAACCATGTGGCAGGGGTACTCTTTGATAGGGAGAGGGTATATGTTGTTGTTGTTGTGCTACTGGAGAGGGTTGATCCAAGCCTGCTATGCCGGGATAATAATTGGGGGCTTGTTGTGCCGCTTGCCTAGACATATTGTAGTTTTGGCCAGCTTGTTGGTGCTGCTGTTGTAGTGTATGTGCTGCCAACATCTGCATATGTTGCTGCGTGGCAACATTAGCGATGCCGCTCATACTTGTGCGTGGCACCATTTGTGTGCTATGAGGGACAGGTTGTTGTTGTTGTTGTTGCTGTTGTTGTTGTGAGAGTTGTTGATGTGTGAGTGGTGCTTCATTGTGATGTGACATAGAATTGCTTGCAGCATTTTGTAGCTGTTGTTGCTGCTGCAGGCGATAAATGTCGCTGATGGGTGTGTAAACCTGTCCGGTGGGTAATTGCTGGGCGGGTTTTTGCTGCATTTGCTGTTGCATTAATAAATGCTGCTGTTGTTGCTGCTGCTGTTGCAGTTGTTGTTGTTGTTGCTGCTGCTGTTGTTGTATTTGTTGCTGCTGCAATCTTAAAGCCTCCATTTGTGGTCTTTGTAGTTGTACATAACGTTGCATATCCTGTTGGCTGTTTAAGGAAGCTCTTCTTTCTTGTCCCAACATGGGTGATTGTTGAGCTTGATTAGCTGCCGCCACTTGTTGATGTTGTATATTTCGTGTGGGAGCCTCTGTTTGTAGTCTCATGATGTTCTGTTGCTGCTGTTGTATCATTTGTGCTGTTACTTTATCATTGGGGTTTTGGGCAGTTCTTAAGACACGTTCCAATATGGGATTGGGTATGAAGTCATCATCTTCCTCATTGTCAGCAGTGGCCACCAATATAACCTGATCGCAGAAGGAAACACTCTTCTTTTTGACGCGTTTAACAGGAGCTGCTGTGTTTCCATTGGGTTGGGCACTATTCAAAGTTTGTTGCACCATATTGTTGAGCAACTCTACCTCCCGGATCTCTTCGGCTATTTGTGTCTGCGATATATCATATTTGGGTTTGGGTAAGATGTTATTAATGGCCTGTTGTTGACGCTGTTGCAAGGCTGGTGGTGGAGGTCTTTGTGGTAAACAATCGACCTCATCGTTTTCATTTTTCATAACCAAACCATTCATGGGGTTTCGGGCATTAGTAGGTTTAGCATTCAAAAGTTCTTGGGAACCAAAGGCGCGCATAGGACTGGGTGATTGTTGCTGCTCATAGCGTTGAGCCATGCTCTGGACATTGGTGAGCTCCTGCTGTCTTTGCAATTGTTTCGTTTGCAATTCTCTTAACCAGGAATTTTCATTAGAGTTCATTTGATTAAAGGTGGGTGTATTGGCGTGTTCTTTGCGCATGTTCATCAAATGTTTTCTCTGCTGTAATTGGGCCAATATTGAGGTGGTACCCTCCATAGATTCCAATGTTCTTTGTTGTTTATTGGCTGCCTCTAAGGCTTGTATTTGATTGATTTGTTGATTCAAAGGCTCCATATCAATCTCGGGTGGTGGTGGTGGGAAATCTTCACTGGCCTGGCGTGAATGTGATACCGAGTGAGGTGGACTGGGATAAGGAGGCAATTCTAAAGGTGGTGGTGGTGGGGGAAAATCTTGTGAGTCTTGTCTCACATGTTGTGGTGGTGCCACCAAACCATCTACCTCATCTATACCTTGATCGTTAAGATTATTAGCTTTATATTGTTGCTGCTGTTGTTGTTGTTGGTACAATTGTTCTTTTAGGGGACTTTGTTCGGAATGTACTTGAGCACAGGTGGTTATGATGGTCTGACAGGAATCCTCACTGATGGAGGTATTCGAACTCATGGCTGAGATATTCGATAAATTGGCTTCATGATGGAAATGCTGCATTAAAGCGGCATCTTGTTGCTGCTGCAAAGCCAATTGTTGTTGCAATTGCTGCTGAGTCAAAGTCGAAGAAGTTCTCATGGGTGGTGGTGGTGGCGCCACTTTAGCCACTACAGTCAATTGTCTACCACTGCCATGGAAACTCTTACGCATTAGCTTACTTCTTTCCAAATTGGGATTGGCATTTGTGCCATTATTGGCGGCAGGATCACGGAAATCGAAATGACCCTCGGATATATAACCACTCATGGAATTCTTGTGCTGTAAACCCACCACCGAGTCATCGACGGAAGCAGCTAAAGGAGCTGCAGCATTAGCAGCTTGGGCTGCATTGGCCACCTCATCACCAGCCTCGGTTAGATCAGGCATAGATCTATTCTTGCGTCTGATTAAACCGCCCATTAACAATTTGCGTCTAATCTTATGCTGCTTCTTGCCATTCTTATCTTTTTCCTTTTTCTCATCTTTATCTTCCTTGTGTTTCTTTAAAGTATCCTTGGCATTGACCAATAAAGTTTCGGTTAGAGAAAATTCTCTAGTGATCTTGTTGCGATCCTCACTGCGACTTCTTTTATCTTTATCCTGTTTGCTGCTATTGCGACCGAATAAAGAGCGTCCTTCCCTTTCCGGTTTGGCGGGTGAAGGTTCATATTCTATATTATCCACCTCATTGGCTGCTGAGGCTGTTATTAAAGCCTTGAGGGGACTTTTCTTTTTCGGTAAAGTAGCATAGATTTCTATGGACTTATTATTGTTAACGGGAGTTGAGTTGTTGCTATTAGGCATATTTGTTTGCGAAGGACTCTTCTCGAGAGTCTTATCTTTGCTGTTTTGTCTTACGTGTCTGATAACACTGCTGGTGCTGCCCTCACGCATATGTTTCATTTCGGGAGTAGCATCCATTTCAGCGCCCTTTTCAATCAATATGCGTCGATGGAGAGAACGAGCTCTCATTACACAGGTATTGTGTTTCATGCGAGCAAAGGTCATGGTATGAGGATTGCTGTAGGGAGCATCCATGGCAGCTCTGGCTCTACCCGCAGCAGCATTGCATAAAACTAAAGCAGTTTCTAAGTCGTGAGACTCCTCCAAGATTCTCGATTTCTCTAGCAATTGATCAGCCTCATGGCACAGCTTCTCACAATCTCCTGTCAACACCACCGAGGGAGAAGCTTCGGGAATTTTGGCCAATTGAGGATTTAAAGGATGTTTGGGTGGATAAGAATCAGTAGAACTTAAGGAGAACGAATCATAGCCAGGATCATAAGGCAAACCATTACGTGTAGGGCTTTGAGGCACTGCCGAGGCTGAACGTTTACCCACCATATATAAATAGGGATTATCCAGAGTTGTAGAAGAAGCAGAACTGGCTGAATTGCGATCACCAGACCAATTGCCCGAATCACGACGTCTAGGTTGGTTTAAATGTTCGGGTATGGTTAAACCATCACTAGGAGGTGAAGAAGAATTGGTGGAGGATGTAGTCGAGGAGGCGGAAGAGCCAGAAACATGACCCGATTCCGCACTGTGGCTTCTCTGTAACTGCAAATGTTGTTGATGCTTGCGAGCCAATTGAGCATTAAGTACCGCTTCCAAAGATTTGCGCTGATGATAATTGGTCATGGCGGAAATTTCCTTTTCATCTTGTTGGAAGATTTTATCCTGAATTATACTCAAGTTCTGATATTGAGCACTAAGAACATGTTCCACGGTTTTACGGCTGATATAGGAATCCGTTTCATCTGTGTTTAAGGCATTCATATGGGCCACATTGTTGTCTTGAGGGCTCTGAGGGAAAATATTCTTCTGTATAACACTTAGATTCTGGTAATCATTGGGCACTCTTAAGGGAGTAGGAGTAATGGCACGTCTGGTATTACCCAGCTGGGGTTTCTCAGGGCTAGGAGTAATGGCTCTTCTTACAGCAGGCGATTGTGAATTATGAGCCAATTCTTGCATATATTGAGCCGAAGATATTTGTGTGGAATTGGTGGCATTGCTATTATTCGATTGAGGCTGGGGTACAGCATATAGCAGTAGTAAGGGCTGATAACGACCACGGCTACACTTGTCAACAACACCTTCCCAATGGGGACCAACCTTTAAAGGAAAATATGTGAATTATTGTTTGTTTAAAGGAGTTTTGCGATTAGTTTTCTGGCGGACTTACCTCTTTAACATTGGCATCATCAAAGTATACCCATACCTTGAGTTTGGTATGGAAAAAGAAGGTGGTATAGTGTTTGCCATAGTAGGATACAATGCCTACCAATTCATGTTGTACATTTTGAGCCCATCTTTGTTCGGAGACTTGATGGAATACATCGGATAGTCTTAAATTGGTGCCTACAGCTTTTAGAACAGAATGCACTTGTTCGGCAGCTGGCCTTTCGGAATCCCAAACTATTCCTATGGAAACGACATCTGGACGATTTAAAAGAGCACGGCAAATACCAATTTTAGCACCACAAGAGTTCTAAAAGTGAAGGTTAAATCATTAATTAACTTTCTTGCAACTGAAGTTAAATTTTATTAGATTAATAAAGCTGTGTAATTGAATTAATGTAATGGTACATTGACTCTATCAGAATTAAAAACACTTGGTTCTTCAGTTTTAATTGTTCTTTTTTAATAAATTAACTTACCGGACAATCTCTTATATCTCCCATATTGCCAGCTGCTCTTAATAGTTGACCAAAAGTCAATTGCTGATGATTTTGCAAAGCCAGAGAATTTTGTGAGGTTAAGGCTGAGGCCGAAACATAATGAACCATCTGAAATCAAAGAAAAATTATTAAAAAATTTAATATAAATAAAATTAACTAAACAAAAAATTGTGCGTGGGTTCATTGACAAAATATTTACGCTAACACCAAAAGAAAGATTTCGAACCAACACCAAATTTGAACTGTCAACAGGTTTAGATTTTTGTATAATTTTTGGTAATTTGCCTGTACTACAAAACCTAATCAAAGCCATAATTAAAGCATTTAGACGCCGGAAATTTAACACCCACTTAGTTAACACTGCTGCTCTAAAACATGTTTCACTCCAAAATTCCTTTTAAAACTTAAGCACGTGTTTTATGGTCTAGCTTGAAACATCATTAAACTACTGTTGAATTTTTAATGTAGGCTTTTTTTCAAAAGTTATAAATTTATTATAAAATTTATAATTCTTTGTCATTTTAATTAAACATTATTAATCACCATGTTGTCACTTAAATGGTCATTGTTACAGACTTTTTTGTTTGACATTTTTGTAAAGGCGTTTATTGGTTTAAAATGACGTCAGTTGTTTCATTTTTGTTTAAATTAACTTGTCAATTTAAAAATGTTTCTGTTTCTTTCTTGGAAATTGTCAAATTGTTGCATTGAAATGCAAATTTCTTTTTATAAACTTCGTTTGTTTGAAAATAACGTCAGTTTTATTGTTTTTGGTTTGGTTTGAAGTCTTTTATTTCCTTATAAAGTATTTGAATTGTTAATATTTTGAGTTAAATGAACATATTGGTAATTTATTTTATGATTGACTAGTTAATTGTTGTTGGTAATTTTATAGTTCACAATTTAGCTTGCAATATTAATTGCAGCAATTTGTCTAAAACAAATAACACAAGATCACTTGAAAGTAAATTGGATTGTCAGATTAGACTGGATAGTATAAATTGGTTAAATTGGGAATATCGTTAACGATCGTTTCGGGATCCTCGCAAATATTTAAGTTAATCTAGACCTTGTAATTTAGGAAATTTATCTAGTGATCAGAAGTTTGGTCTATTTATTATCATGACCACATCATGTCTAAGATTACTTCTATTCTACCAATTTCCATCGACGTTAGTATTAAATATGTTATCGACAAAGAGCGTTCTCATATGTTTTATACATGTGAGAACTAAATAGGAGAGCTCATTAGTAACTCTCTGTCGACACCTGCTTAAAGGCACAGTTATATGCTCTTTTGCTCTTTTTTACACTTATATAAGCTTTAAATAAGTTAAAGGAGTTTTCATCCTCTCTGGCTTTCAAAATTACGTAAGCCCACACCTCTCTCTGTCGATGATCGTTCAAATTATTATTTAATCAAAATATGGAGCTTTTTCTCTTATTGTTTTGATCGGATATTGTGATATTATCTAAAGAGAGAGATCAAAACTACTGGAGAATTCCAATATTTAAAAACTGACTTGTAATAGAGTGGAAGAGAGAGAGAGAGCTGACATACATTTTGAGCCCATTTTGAGAATTCCAATATTTAAAAACTGACTTGTAATAGAGTGGAAGAGAGAGAGAGAGAGAGCTGACATACATTTTGAGCCCACATGTTTTATACATGTGAGAAATAAACAGGAGAGCTCATTAGTTACTCTCTGTCGACACCTGTTTAAAAGCACAGACAGAGTATATTTTGCTCTTTTTCACACTTATGTATATAAGCTCACACATGTATAAAAACCAACCAGTCGGAAAGCTCATTTGTTATTCATTTTCATTAAGTTAAAGGAGTTTTCATCCTCTCTGGCTTTCACAATTACGTAAGCTCACACCTCTATCTGTCGATGCCCGTTCAAATTCTCAACTAGTCAAAATATGGAGCTTTTTCTCTTATTGTTTTGATCGGATATTGTGATATTATCTAAAGAGAGAGAGATCAAAACTACTGGAGAATTCCAATATTTAAAAACTGACTTGTAATAGAGTGGAAGAGAGAGAGAGCTGACATACATTTTGAGCCCACATGTTTTATACATGTGAGAACTAAACGGGAGAGCTCATTAGTAACTTTCTGTCGACACCTGCTTAAAAGCACAGAGAGAGTATCTTTTGCTCTTTTTCACACTTATATAAGCTCACACATGTATAAAAACCAACCAGTCGGAAAGCTCATTTTCGTCATCTGCTTTAGATAAGTTAAAGGAGTTTTCATTCTCTCTGGATTTTACACTTACATAAGCTCAAACATCTCTCTGTCGATGCCCGTTCAAATTATCATTTATCATGGAGCTTTTTCTCTTATTGTTTTAATCGGATATTGATGATATGATAGTATTTATATAGTTAATCATTCCAAATCAATTAAAATGTTTTACTTAAAAATTTGACTTTCTTTTCGAACATATTTTAGGCATTTCTCATAAATTTAGCTTAACTAATTTCTTTTAAAATATTTTTTGGCAAAAAACTAGTTTCTTAAACTAACAAGTGTATTTACAAAAAAATGTGTCTACACTTTCACTTAAAATATCTTAAAAAATTAATCTATTTAAATACAAAACTAATGTATTAAAAAATTTAGAATTAAAAATCCATAAATTAAAAATGTTTATGGTTTTAACATATAAACACATACAAGATATTTTGGCAAAACAAAAGTTGCTATTAAAAAACCTAAAAAAAAGCATGTCAGAGAAATTTTGTTTTAAAAAAGAAACAAAATTTAAAAGAATTTTTAAAAAAACAAAAGAATTTTTTAAAAAGAAAATAATTTTGTATAAAAAACAGTAGTTTTAAAATAAAAATTTACAATTTATGGAATTTTGTTTGACAAAAAATTATGCTAAACTGCAAAAGAATGTGGCCTGGATATGCTAAAATAAAAATCAGAAGCTTTAATGTAAAACCCACATGATCAAAGAGAACAATATAAACTAATTGTTCTAAATACATCTTAACTGCAAAAAGAATGTGACCCGGATAAGCTACTAATCAAAAGCTTAGATGAGGCTTAATCATTAGTGAAAACTATTTTATGAATAAATCGTACTCATTACAAATTGTCACACTTTTATAGCAATTCATAATTGTTATTATTATTGTTATTAATCATAAATTGTAATTAACTTTATAGCTTAACAAAAAAATTTTATAATTTTTTTAAAAAAAGTTTTAAACACGCTTGACTCTTAATAACTATAATAAAAAGTGTGATAATTTTTGTTTGCCTTAAATATTAAAATGTTTATTACAAAAAAGTTATAATTTGAAAGTTAAATTATAATTTATAAAATTATTATTTAAAGCAAAAGTAATCAAACATGTAAATGTTAAACGTTTATAAAGGTTTCACAACTAAGAAAAGTCATAATAAAAGTCAACTAGAATAAAGAAAAAAACTTTAAAACTAAGTAACATAAACTAAGTAAGAGCTAAAATTCATTTGCTATTGCATGACTTTTCTAAAGACACATAGAACTAGAAACTGAATTAGAACTGAACTATAACTGAACTAGAACTGAACTAGAACTGAACTAGAACTGAACTAGAACTGAACTAGAACTGAAACTAGAACTGAGCTAGAAACTGAACTAGAAACTGAACTAGAACTGAACTAGAACTGAACTAGCACTGAACTAGAACTGAACTAGAAACTGAACTAGAACTGAACTAGAACTGAACTAGAACTCGAACTAGAACTGAACTACAACTGAACTAGAAAACTGACTAGGAACTGAAACTAAAAACTGAACTAGAACTGAACTAGAACTGAACTAGAACTGAACTAGAACTGAACTAGAACTGAACTAGAACTGAACTAGAACTGAACTAGAACTGAACTAAAACTGAACTAGAACTGAACTAGAACTGAACTAGAACTGAACAGAACTGAACTAGAACTGAACTAGAACTGAATTAGAACTGAACTAGAACTGACTAGAACTGAACTAGAACTGAACTAGAACTGAACTAGAACTGAACTAGAACTGAACTAGAACTGAACTAGAACTGAACTAGAACTGAACTAGAACTGAACTAGAAACTGAACTAGAACTGAACTAGAACTGAACTAGAACTGAACTAGAACTGAACTAGAACTGAACTAGAACTGAACTAGAACTGAACTTAGAACTGAACTAGAACTGAACTAGAACTGAACTAGAACTGAATCTAGAACTGATCTAGAACTGATCTAGAACTGAACTAGAACTGAACTAGAACTGAACTAGAACTGAACTAGAACTGAACTAGAACTGAACTAGAACTGAACTAGACTGAACTAGAACTGAACTAGAACTGAACTAGAACTGAACTAGAACTGAACTAGAACTGAACTAGAACTGAACTAGAACTGAACTAGAACTGAACTAGAACTGAACTAGAACTGAACTAGAACTGAACTAGAACTGAACTAGAACTGAACTAGAACTGAACTAGAACTGAACTAGAACTGAACTAGAACTGAACTAGAACTGAACTAGAACTGAACTAGAACTGAACTAGAACTGAACTAGAACTGAACTAGAACTGAACTAGAACTGAACTAGAACTGAACTAGAACTGAACTAGAACTGAACTAGAACTGAACTAGAACTGAACTAGAACTGTACTAGAACTGTACTAGAACTGAACTAGAACTGAACTAGAACTGAACTAGAACTGAACTAGAACTAGAACTGAATTAGAACTGAACTAGAACTGAACTAGAACTGAACTAGAACTGAACTAGAACTGAACTAGAACTGAAATAGAACTGAACTAGAATTGAACTAGAACTGAACTAGAACTGAATTAGAACTGAACTAGAACTGAACTAGAACAGAACTAGAACTGAACTAGAACTGAACTATAACTGAACTAGAACTGAACTAGAACTGAACTAGAACTGAACTAGAACTGAACTGAACTAGAACTGAACTAGAACTGAACTAGAACTGAACTAGAACTGAACTAGAACTGAACTAGAACTGAAATACAACTGAACCAGAACTGAACTATATCTAAACTAGAACTAAAAATAGAACTAATCCATAAGATATATAGTTGTCGTTACAAAATTTTATTAGGACAACTAATTACAATAGACTTAGAACTTAAGTGTTTACTAAAGTAAAGAAAAACCTGCTTTAGCAATTAACTGTACTAGTTCCGTGTCTGCATAACATTTATTACCAACAATTAATTAACATTATTTTTAAAATAATAACTCTTTTCAAATTAGTTTTAACTAACTCATGGTTAATTGCTTTATATTGTTTTATTTGTTTAATTTAAATGAAAAAAAAAAAACAAACTCCTACATTTAAATAAAAAAAAATCAATGTACTCTTGTACAAGTTTAAAATGACCAACTTTAACACCTTCATCTCGCCTATAAGATCTTTAAACTAAGATCAAATTTCTATTAAGTTTCTTTCAGTCAATGGCAATCGTTTTTAAAAGCTTATGAGTGAGTTGAACATTTCGAATAAATTTGTTTAAACAATTTTAAAGTTCAAGTATGTAAATTAGTTAACATAGTTAATGAAAAAAGACAAAAAACTATATAGAAATAAAACTAGATTTAACATCATTAAGCAGTTGGTAGTAGCTTAAGGCAAGCTAACTATATAGTTCTGCTGTTTTGATTTTTCAAAAGCAATTATGTATGCATTTTGTTTTTTTTTTTTTTTTCAAATATAATTTTCTGTTCAATAACATGTGTTATGGAAAAAAATTATAGAACTGGTTTTTAGATAAAAAATCGTAGTTTTTCAGTCATTAACTGTAAGAATTTTTCCAGTTTTAATTTGATTTTAGTAACAAATTACAATTTAATTTATAGTTGAGAATATACATTTTTTCCCAAGACACAAAAATTGCGTTTTTATAAACTGCACCAGATTACATGAAGAAATATTAGTTTGGTTATTACATTTGTAACGCATGGAAATTTAAGATTTCAAAAAATATATATATATTGGGTTTTTATATAGTTCTAAGTTGTACTAAATAAGTCCGTCCCTCTGTCTACTACAGACACAATGGGACTAATCTGTCAAACAGTGAAAGATTGTCGTTTTGTCTTATGTGTCGCCTGGTATTGGGTTTATAAGCTTCGTTACAGCCGATTCTAATATTTTTTATTTATTTTCAAATCAGAATATAAGACAAGGTTAGTCTATTTAAGTTTTTTTTTAGTTCTAAAAAGTTGTTTTTATATCAAAATTTAAATTGCAAAGTTTATTTTAAAATAAGTGTTTTGTTGTGTTTGAAATCTGATTTTAAAGTCAAGAACATTTAAATTTTGTAAAAATTCTAAAGCTTTTTTTTGTTTGCTTTTATTTTAAATATTTATTTATAAAACATTATATTAATAGCTAGATATTCTTTAACTTAAACAATACTCGTCTGAGTCTAAGCGCGAAATAAAACTTGTTGACATTTTATGACAACTTCAATGGCCGGTCAAATATTAAAATTTTTTCAGTATTTGTTTTAAATTTCAATGGTGGTTTGAAAATTTTGAATATAAAATTAAGTGTTATTTATTTAAATTTAAAAAAAAAAAACGGTTTAAACAATAAACATTTAAACAGCGCTCTTCAAAGAACAATTGAAAATTATTTACAAAAAATCAAGCAGGAAAACAAAAGAATTGAAATAAAACTTCAAAGCCTGGTTAAAGGCTTTTGAAAATTTAACAGATATTCTAAAAAGAAAATAATTTATTTTTGTTAAAATTTGATTCGAGTAAATTCCATTTGTTAGTTTTTTTATAATACATATTTATATTCAAAATGTGTTATGTCATAAAATTTTTGATATTAATTTAATTCCTTTCAAACTTTGGTTAACACTTAATTTTATATTAAATTTTATGGGTATTTTTCGTTTTATTGCCTGCAAAACATTTTTGTCTAACACTCACTGTTATTTACTTTATTCTTTCCTTCTTCCAAAAATAAATTTGTCATAATTCATAATAATTTGTCATGTAACTTTTTCATAAAAAATAATCATTAATCAATTTTACTTTATTACTAAAATCGATGACCGGAAATTATTAATTAAATAAAACTGTTATATTGACAGTTTTGTTAAAAGGTGATTAAAAATAAAACTATCAATGAACTTTGAACTGTCATAATTAAAAATCATCAAATACTGATAATCAGCACAAAAGAAATTAACTTCGAAACGTTTAAGAACTGAACTAGAAGTGAACAAGAACTGAACTAGAACTGAACTAGAACTGAACTAGAACTGAACTAGAACTGAACTAGAACTGAACTAGAACTGAACTAGAACTGAACTAGAACTGAACTAGAACTGAACTAGAACTGAACTAGAACTGAACTAGAACTGAACTAGAACTGAACTAGAACTGAACTAGAACTGAACTAGAACTGAACTAGAACTGAACTAGAACTGAACTAGAACTGAACTAGAACTGAACTAGAACTGAACTAGAACTGAACTAGAACTGAACTAGAACTGAACTAGAACTGAACTAGAACTGAACTAGAACTGAACTAGAACTGAACTAGAACTGAACTAGAACTGAACTAGAACTGAACTAGAACTGAACTAGAACTGAACTAGAACTGAACTAGAACTGAACTAGAACTGAACTAGAACTGAACTAGAACTGACTAGAACTGAACTAGAACTGAACTAGAACTGAACTAGAACTGAACTAGAACTGAACTAGAACTGAACTAGAACTGAACTAGAACTGAACTAGAACTGAACTAGAACTGAACTAGAACTGAACTAGAACTGAACTAGAACTGAACTAGAACTGAACTGAACTAGAACTGAACTAGAACTGAACTAGAACTGAACTAGAACTGAACTAGAACTGAACTAGAACTGAACTAGAACTGAACTAGAACTGAACTAGAACTGAACTAGAACTGAACTAGAACTGAACTAGAACTGAACTTAATAGTTCAGAAAATTTATTTTAACTTGAAAAAACATCGATTTTATTCAAATGTGATTTCTCCAATTTCAAATTATACTCATAATTAAGGAAAATTTGCATTTAATTAAAGAAAATTTTCTTCCGCTTGTTCAACTAACACCATATTTTCACAATAATTTCCTTTAATAAACCGCAATTATAAAATATTTAAAAAATTTCTTCAACTAATAACAACTAGATTAAAAGAGAGATATAAAGAAACAAATCATCTACATACCTGAGTAAATGGTAACTGCTCTGAATTGGCGCCACACTTGCAAACACTCTGCTCAATGACACGCATGGCAAAACGACGATGAGCAATGCAAGCCTGTGATTCACAGGCATCACCATCATCGGAGGAAATATGAGAATGTACGCGATGTAAAAGTAATTCAAAACATTCGGCCGCATCACCCAGACAACCCAAGGGGAAACGACGTCCCGCCAAGGGGCCCGAAGCTAAAGCACGACGCAAAGGCTCGGGACATAGAGCTGGTTCGGAGCTGGTTTGTAATTGTTGGAAAAGTTCCTTTAGGAATAAAAAATAATGTAAAGTTAATAAAATTTTAATATTTATAAATGATAATTTAAAAAAATATTTTTTTATTTATTGCCCTAACAAAATGCATTGTCAACTTTTCAATTAATTTATTGCTAAATAATTTAATGTTTTTTTTTTTTTTCTACAAATAACTTACTATAACCGCATTTATACAACGATCTCTATCTTGTATTGCTTCTGGACTCAATATTATGCCACTTGCTATACTTGTCATTGTATTATTGCCATAGTTGTTGCTATTGTTGTTGTTATTGTTTGGTTTATTCGTATAACCCATTACCGCCAATTCAGCGGTTGAGGCAACTTTTGCCATTGACGTCAATAGTTTGCGATTATTTTGCAATGTATTCGATTGTCGCGTTAATGTGGCTGATTTATGACCCTCACGTGGATCCATCATTTTCTTTGGTGTACTACGTGGCAATGTGCCACCTGTACCGGCTGTTAGCACCATTTGACAGTGTTGGGGATGTTGTAGATGCTGTGATGCTGCTGTCGAATTGACAATATTAATGGGTGCACTTGTTATTAATTGTGATTGTATGGAGGATTTTAATGTGGTGGTTGTTGTGGTTGGTGATTGTGTGGCTGTTGTTGTTGCTGCTGTATTAATTGTGTTACCATTGTTGTTATTGACTTTCAATTGTTGCGGTAGTTGTTGTTGTTGCTGCTGTTGATATGCGGTCGTTGGTTTACAATTCTCTTTAGCTTCATTATGGGTGGCATCTTTATTTGTTGTGGATGTGTTATTTGTTGTTTTTGTTGAGATCGTTGATGTATTGAGGCTGTTGCCATTGCTGGTATCTTTGCCTCCAACAATATTGGTTGGTTCTTTACGTTTATAACGAAACTTAATCATTTTGTTGATAATTGTTAAAGGCAGGTTGAGAGGAAAAAGGTTTTTTTTATAAAATATCGGTGGTTTTGTTTCGAATGTTTTATAACATTTTTGTTGGTGTTTTGTTTTGTAAAGCTGTAAAATTTGGGTTTAAAAATACATTGTTAGTGTTATGGGTTTTTATCTTCAGATAATGAAAAACCTCGTATAGAAAATGTTGATTTTGTGGGAAGTTTGGAGAATTTATTACAATAGAAACATTAGCAGGCGAAATCGCTACAAGGACTTCCCAACCTTCAAGAAATCAGTTTTGTTTCAGTTGGATCTCAATTCTAGTTCTGATCTAGTTTAGTTATAGTTCAGTTCTAGTTCAGTTCTAGTTCAGTTCTAGTTCAGTTCTAGTTCAGTTCTAGTTCAGTTCTAGTTCAGTTCTAGTTCAGTTCTAGTTCAGTTCTAGTTCAGTTCTAGTTCAGTTCTAGTTCAGTTCTAGTTCAGTTCTAGTTCAGTTCTAGTTCAGTTCTAGTTCAGTTCTAGTTCAGTTCTAGTTCAGTTCTAGTTCAGTTCTAGTTCAGTTCTAGTTCAGTTCTAGTTCAGTTCTAGTTCAGTTCTAGTTCAGTTCTAGTTCAGTTCTAGTTCAGTTCTAGTTCAGTTCTAGTTCAGTTCTAGTTCAGTTCTAGTTCAGTTCTAGTTCAGTTCTAGTTCAGTTCTAGTTCAGTTCTAGTTCAGTTCAGTTCTAGTTCAGTTCTAGTTCAGTTCTAGTTCAGTTCTAGTTCAGTTCTAGTTCAGTTCTAGTTCAGTTCTAGTTCAGTTCTAGTTCAGTTCTAGTTGAGTTCTAGTTGAGTTCTAGTTGAGTTCTAGTTGAGTTCTAGTTGAGTTCTAGTTCAGTTCTAGTTCTAGTTCAGTTCTAGTTCAGTTCTAGTTCAGTTCTAGTTCAGTTCTAGTTCAGTTCTAGTTCAGTTCTAGTTCAGTTCTAGTTCAGTTTAGTTCAGTTCTAGTTCAGTTCTAGTTCAGTTCTAGTTCAGTTCTAGTTCAGTTCTAGTTCAGTTCTAGTTCAGTTCTAGTTCAGTTCTAGTTCAGTTCTAGTTCAGTTCTAGTTCAGTTCTAGTTCAGTTCTAGTTCAGTTCTAGTTCAGTTCTAGTTCAGTTCTAGTTCAGTTCTAGTTCAGTTCTAGTTCAGTTCTAGTTCAGTTCTAGTTCAGTTCTAGTTCTAGTTCTAGTTCAGTTCTAGTTCTAGTTCAGTTCTAGTTTTAGTTCAGTTCTAGTTCAGTTCTAGTTCAGTTCTAGTTCAGTTCTAGTTCAGTTCTAGTTCAGTTCTAGTTCAGTTCTAGTTCAGTTCTAGTTCAGTTCTAGTTCAGTTCTAGTTCAGTTCTAGTTCAGTTCTAGTTCAGTTCTAGTTCAGTTCTAGTTCAGTTCTAGTTCAGTTCTAGTTCAGTTCTAGTTCAGTTCTAGTTCAGTTCTAGTTCAGTTCTAGTTCAGTTCTAGTTCAGTTCTAGTCAGTTCTAGTCAGTTCTAGTTCATTCTAGTTTCAGGTTCTAGTTCAGTTCTAGTTCAGTTCTAGTTCAGTTCTAGTTCAGTTCTAGTTCAGTTCTAGTTCAGTTCTAGTTCAGTTTCTAGTTCAGTTCTAGTTCAGTTCTTAGCTTCAGTTCTAGTTCAGTTCTAGTTCAGGTTCCTAGTTCAGTTCTAGTTTCAGTTTGTTCTAGTTCTAGTCAGTTCTAGTTGCAGTTCTATCAGTTCTAGTTCCGTTCTAGTTCGAGTTCAGTTCTAGTCAGTTCTAGTTTTAGTTCCAAGTTCTAGTTCAGTTCTAGTCAGTTCTTAGTCTTCTAGTTCTAGTTCTAGTTTCAGTTCTAGGTCAGTTCTAGTTCAGTCTCTAGTTCAGTTCTAGTTCAGTTCTAGTTCAGTTCTAGTTCAGTTCTAGTTCAGTTTCTAGTTCAGTTCTAGTTCAGTTCTAGTTCAGTTCTAGTTCAGTTACTAGGTTCAGTTCTAGACTTCAGTTCTAGTTCAGTTTCTAGTTTCAGTTCTAGTTCAGTTCTAGTTCAGTTCTAGTTCAGTTCTAGTTCAGTTCTAGTTCAGTTCTAGTTCAGTTCTAGTTCAGTTCAGTTCTAGTTCAGTTCCTAGTTCTAGTCAGAGTTCTAGTTCAGTTTCTAGTTCAGTTCCTAGTTCAGTTCTAGTTCAGTCTAGTTCAGTTCGAGTCAGTTCTAGTTCAGTTTCTAGTTCAGTTTCTAGTTCAGTGCCTAGTTCAGTTCCTAGTTCGTTTCTAGTTTCAGTTCTAGTCAGTTGCTAGTTCAGTTTCTAGTTCAGTTCTAGTTCAGTTCTAGTTCAGTTTCTAGTTCAGTTCTAGTTCAGTTCTAGTTCAGTTCTAGTTTCAGTTTCTAGTTCAGTTTCTAGTTCAGTTCTAGTTCAGTTCTAGTTCAGTTCTAGTTCAGTTTCTAGTTCAGTTCTAGTTCATCTAGTTCTTCTAGTTCAGTTCTAGTTCAGTCTAGTTCAGTTCTAGTTCAGTTCCTAGTTCAGTTCTAGTTCAGTTCTAGTTCAGTTCTAGTTCAGTTTCTAGTTTCAGTTCTAGTTTCAGGTCTAGTTCAGTTTCTAGTTCAGTTCTAGTTCAGTTCTAGTCAGTTCTAGGTTCAGTTCTAGTTCGTCAGTTCGAGTTCAGTTCGTTCTAGTTCAGTTCTAGTTACAGTTCTAGTTCAGTTCTAGTTCTAGTTCAGTTCTAGTTCAGTTCTAGTTCAGTTCTAGTTCAGTTCTAGTTCAGTTCTAGTTCAGTTCTAGTTCAGTTCTAGTTCAGTTCCTAGTTCAGTTCTAGTTCAGTTCTAGTTCAGTTCTAGTTCAGTTTCTAGTTCAGTTCTAGTTCAGTTCTAGTTCAGTTCTAGTTCAGTTCTAGTTCAGTTCTAGTCAGTTCTAGTTCAGTTCTAGTTCAGTTCTAGTTCAGTTCTAGTTCAGTTCTAGTTCAGTTCTAGTTCAGTTCTAGTTCAGTTCTAGTTCAGTTCTAGTTCGTTCTAGTTCAGTTCTAGTTTCAGTTCTAGTTCAGTTCTAGTTCAGTTCTAGTTCAGTTCTAGTTCCGTTCTAGTTCAGTTCTAGTTCAGTTCTAGTTCAGTTCTAGTTCAGTTCTAGTTCAGTTCTAGTTCAGTTCTAAGTTCAGTTCTAGTTCAGTTCTAGTTCAGTTCTAGTTCAGTTCTAGTTTCAGTTCTAGTTCAGTTCTAGTTCAGTTCTAGTTCAGTTCTAGTTCAGTTCTAGTTCAGTTCTAGTTCAGATTTCTATTTCAGTTCTAGTTCAGTTATAGTTCAGTTCTAGTTCAGTTCTAGTTCGTTCTATCAGTTCTAGTTTCAGTTCTAGTTCAGTCTAGTTCATTTTCTAGTTCAGTTCTAGTTCAGTTCTAGTTCAGTTCTCGTTTATGTTATAGTTCGTTTTCTAGTTCGTTCTATTTCAGTTCTAGTGCAGGTTTAGTTTCAGTTCAGTTTCAGTTCTAGTTTCAGCTTCAACTGACAATCAAGCTTTTTTACTTCATTGGTTAAATTAAGTTCAATTTGAGTTAAAATTTGCTTTAATTTTTATCAATTTGAATCATAATTCAGTCTAAATCGTTTACCAAGTTTAATCACGTTAGAATATTCAAATCTTTTATGTTTTGGTTTTCACTCCAATTTAAATAGTTTTAAAACAAACTATTTTTTGTGTTGTTAAACTGTTTTAATTTGAAAGTAACTAATTAAGTAATTACATATTTCCTACAAAACTTTGCAGTTTAATGCCTTTTAATGTGAGTTTTTTTTTTTTTGTAATTACCAAAACATCATTTTAATTTCAGTTTCATCTTGAAAAAACTTTCAATTTTCAAAAAATGAATTTCAGTACCTTAAACTTGTTTTATGGCAAAATTAAAGTTAATAAAAACTTACTTTAAAAAAAAGTAGCACATGACACCAAAAAGAAAAAAATTAAAATGAATTTAAGAAAAAAAACAAACTCAGAAACAGCATCATATTACGACCATTAAAAAGGCCAACACAACAGCAGAGGTGAATCAAAAAGCATGAATTTGAAAAAAATATGTATAAAAAAGATAAATGTTAGTAAATATGTTTGTTTAAAAAAAGTAGGCACCCACTTAAGAAATGGAAACCTTTTTTTTTTGGTCTAAAATCAACAAACAATTTTTACTCAGAGTACCGTCACAAATTACCAACAACTCTTTTAAATTTATACAGGTGTTGCTGTTATTTACCTATAGCAACAACAACATAAAACTTTTAGTTAAAAAAAAAAACAAGGTGGAGACTAATAAGAAGTAAAAAGTCTAGATATTTTTTTTTCTTAATATGAAATTAACATGTAAAGGTTTTTTAGTTTGACTTAAAACAAAAAAAAAAGTGAAATTATTTATTTTTTAAGCTTAAAATGAACCACAAAAAACAAAACATTTAAAAAATGTTGTGCAGTCCATCATTTATATAGTTTTTGTTACAATATTTTGACTTTAATCGATGGTGGTTTTTAAGAAGAAATAAAACAACAACAAAAAAGAACAACTTTTAAACACGAAAAGGTTAAAATAAAGTTGTATTTATAAGAAACCAATTGCTAATAAAAGCGGTTTGTGTGTTACACAGTTTTGTTCGTCTTTCGATCAATTAGTTTTTATTGTTGTTGTAGACAGAAAAGTATTCGATATTTTTGCCCTACACTTTAGGGAAGTACATTCAGTTTTATCTGTCAATAAAATCAATCTGGAGGTAACTATAATCGACACTATACTCTGTACTAATGAGCAGACAATTCCACAACTAGATTATTATTGTAATTATCATTTTAAAAATTATTTAAAAAAATTTACTCTCACAGCTTGTAATCTTAATTATATGTTACATTTAAATCATATTTAAACAAAAAATATTTATAAAAGAAAAAATTCAACAAATCCGTAAACATTTTCTATACTTTTTGGAAAAGTAATTAATCAACGGGAAAGATAAATTAACCACAAAAAAAATATTCCTAAAACCTTAAAGGTATTCAAAAGAAATATTCTAATATAAACTGAAAAATATTCTTTGTTTCAAATTTAAAACCATAAAATTTTCTCATCAACCTAAACTGCTTATAACAGCAGAAAATTTTCAGAACAAATTTCGAAAAAGTTTCATT